AATATAAAGATAACGTACAAACACAATTCCTAAATAATAGATAGATAATGTACAAACACAATTCCTAAATAATATAAAGATAACGTACAAACACAATTCCTAAATAATAGATAGATAATGTACAAACACAATTCCTAAATAATATAAAGATAACGTACAAACACAATTCCTAAATAATATAAAGATAACGTACTAAGAATTCCTAAATAATAGAAAGATAGCGTACAAACAAATTCCTAAATTATAGAAAGATAACGTACAAACACAATTCCTAAATAATTTCTATTATTTAGGAATTGTGTTTGTACGTTATCTTTCTATTATTTAGGAATTGTGTTTGTACGTTATCTTTCTATTATTTAGGAATTGTGTTTGTACGTTATCTTTCTATTATTAAGGAATTGTGTTTGTACGTTATCTTTCTATCATTTAGGAATTGTGTTTGTACATTATCTTTCTATTACTTAGGAATTGTGTTTGTACATTATCTTTCTATTATTTAGGAATTGTGTTTGTACATTATATTTCTATTATTTAGGAATTGTTTGTACATTATCTATCTATTATTTAGGAATTGTTTGTACGTTATATTTCTATTATTTAGGAATTTTGTACATTATCTATCTATTATTTAGGAATTGTTTGTACATTATCTATCTATTATTTAGGAATTGTTTGTACATTATCTATCTATTATTTAGGAATTGTTTGTACATTATAAATTGTTATGTAGTATTGAGTTTCATTACTGCTGAGAGCATCTCCTGCTTTAAACCAATCAAACTAAACTGGAGCCCAGCTTAGAAATAATCAATGTTTCATCGTTAATTTTTCCTTTTCTTATTCTGTACTTAATGATAATATGAACATTTTTGTACTACACATTTGACGTCGATTAGCAAGTTAATGTTGATATATTGTTCCAGTTTACAGGATGTATTAATGCAAGAAAATCGGTTGTACCTGGTGTTTGAATTCCTTTCTATGGATCTCAAGAAATACCTGGACAATATTCCTAGTGGGCAGTTTATGGACAAGAAGTTAGTGAAGGTAGGTTGATTCTATATAACTGTCCTATAAATGTGAGATTTGTGTTGACCTAAAAAAATTCAAATCAGATATTAAGCTTTAAACTATAACACTTCATTCAAGAAAAAAAAAAAAAAGATAGAACAGCAAAAATTAATTTTAAAGGGACATTAAAAATCTCCGTGTTGGCTTTAGTCTTGTCACTTTTCAACCACTACAAGTCCAAATTTATCATGTTTTAAACTTTATGTGTTCCAAAATTTCGTTCTGAGATTAGAGACTTAAATAATCTATCTCCTGCCTGTAGAATACTTCAGTGGTATTGTGTGTATATAGCTTCAAGTTTGCCACAGTTGGTATTATTTGTAGTCTTTACTCTAATATTTCAAAAGAAAATGGCTAAAATGAAGTATTTGTATTCAAAACAGCTGAATCTCGATATGCAAAAATTGTAGTCGGGAAAAAAACGTGCATTTTTCAATATACCACAAGTCTTACTGCGTCGGAGTTCTAGATTTGTAAGGAAACTACTTAAGTTTATTTATACCATTAAAGAACTTGCAAAGGAACATATGTACACTAGATTAAGAGAAAAACCTAAGATTGTATGTAAATTTTATATTTTTGACACTTTAATATCCCTTCTCCCCTTTATATTAATGAGGAGATTAGTTATTACAAATTTAATTTTGAACATTTACTGCTTGTTATGAACCTTTAACACAATACAGAGCGTAATCATGTAAACACTACAATTTAAGTTTGAGAATTTCCTTACTCTGTCTGTAAACTTAATGTTTACAACCGTATCTGATTAATAAATTTATACTCTGGTGGTGGGGGCTATGAAATAAGCACTTCTGAGATTAACTCCTATTTATGTAAGCTACTCTATACTCAGGGGGACTATGAAATAAGTGTTTCTGAGCTTTACTCCTACTTAGGTAAGCTTGAAAAGTTTAACTTGATTGCAGGAATGTCAGGTTTTTATGGGTGTGGATGGGCAGGATTCTTTACAGTAGGTGTCTGTGACTTGTTGCCAATAAATGGACAACACACAGTCCAATTGAGGAAAGTAACAAGCTCCAAAACACGTGAAAGAATGAAATGTTAAATAAGTCACTGATTCAAAATGTGGAAGGTTGCCCCAAGAGTCATTGCTTGCAATGACCTCTTTCTAAGCAATGTGTAAAGTTGCAACCATATTCTCATGGGCAAAGTAGATACTATCTGATAGAGAACAACAAAGACAATTAAAATGAAAGTTTCATTGGTTTTCTAGGCCATGTATGTGTGTGTGTGTGCCAAAACAACACAGAAGACTAAATGAAAAATTTTGTAAGTTCCTACGTTATTGATAGGAGGTAGGAAACAGATGATACACCTGGAATACATTTTCTATAATCTGACGTGAAGAAAAACGTTCATCTTGGAACTGTTCAACATACATTCTGGTAGAAGCTTGGGTATTCTGGTGATGCTAAGGGTGTACAGTAGGACCATGTTAAACTGCTTAACTGAATAATGTGCCATCATTTGAATAATTTGAGAGGAGCTGCAGTACAATTCTTAAGTGCTACGTTATGTAGAGAGCTTTTTAATATGTTTAACCTTTTGGACTCTTTGCAATGACCTGCTTATGCCAAATTCTACCTTAAACCTAGGTTTGTATAACAAGCTTTGGTATGGTCAGATTTTGATCTTTTGTGGTATAACTCCATATGCATGGAAGGAGTGCACACACACACACACACACATGTATATATATACATGTAAAATGTGTCCATAAAGTCCTGTTCCAGTTTTAAAAGTTTAATACAACAAAAACCAAAAGAGCTAGACTTGTGTAGTTTGGCACCTTGTTGATTAACTAATAAAGTTTTTCTACATTTATAGATTGTAATCAGTCTCCGGTTGCTAATGATTGAAGTTTGAATGAAAATGGTGACTACATAGGAGAAAGCTCAGTGTGTGCACTTTATACATGTAGAGATTCAATCTCCTGTGTAGGGCTTTATGTACCATTCATCTTAGTAGCTGGAGTTCACTTGAAGCATGACGAATAGACTTTCTGGGGCTGCATTGGAACGTCTCCTGGACATTAGCAATGGTTTCTTCAGAAACATCTGGATGTACACTTCGAGGCAGGTCAGTCACACTTCCTGATCTCAACTCTGCAAACCAGATGACACATTGAGCTTTCTCCTGTGCAGTCGCCATCTTTGTCCAAACTTCAACCATTAGCAACAACTGGACACTCCAATTACAATCTGTAAATCAAGAAAAAACTTCATTAGTTAATCAACAAGGTGATAAAAACTGCATAATTCTTTTATTTTTAAGGAAAATTTTGGGTAATTTTTAGTTTACTGTTACAACAGCGGAAGTCACGTGACACTGGGAGCATGCATGGTGAATTTCTCAAATAATCAGGGAACTCCACAAATATTGGAGATGCCTCTTTGTTAGTATATAAGCCTGACAGAGGAAAGCCAGGGGATGATAAAGCGAACAGTAGTTTCGGGTAATTCACCATTCTGTTTCAAGCTAGTGTGTGTTTTGCACTCATAGAGAGCGATGTTATCAAGATTGTGAATTACTGTGATTTATAGCGTGTATTATAAAAGTTAAGTTTAAAGTGACGATAAGTGTACTGACTGGAATTACTGTGCACTAAAAGTTTGTATCGAGAAAGAATAAACTGGTTTAATCAAGGAAGGACTTGTATTGCTGAAGTTCGTCGGAAATAATTTCTACTGGAAATTAACAAACAAGCAGATATGTAACATTACATTCCTTTTTGTTTGTTATTACCAATAGTTTCTCACTCCATACCATTCCCAATTGTTTTCCTTCACCTCTCCGTTTCTGAATTATTTGCCTATTAATGGACTTCTGAATCACCTTGTATAATATATATAGTATTATTAATTATTTCACTATTACAGATAAGTTTTTCTGTTTACTTGCATTTGTATAATTACTCTTACATTATACTTGTTCATATTGTTTTCATACATTAAAGTTAGGCCTCTCCATTGACTTAGTGGTAAGTCTGAAGATTTACAACACACAAAACTAGGTTTCAGTAGGTTCGGTGATCACAACACAGATTGCTCATTGTGTAGCTTTGTGCTTAACAACTAAACTTTAAATTTATTGACAAACCATTAAGAATTTGTAGAGCTAAGGAATTATGTTTGTACGTTGTCTTTCTATTATTTAGGAATTGTTTGTACATTATCTTTCTATTATTTAGGAATTGTGTTTGTACGTTATCTTTCTATTATTTAGGAATTGTGTTTGTACGTTATCTTTCTATTATTTAGGAATTGTGTTTGTACGTTATCTTTGAAGCATGGAACTCAATTTAGCCACAAGATTGAGATTTTTTATTTTTCTCACTGGTTGGTTGCAAGGACAGCCCAGAAGGACAAAATGGATCCTTGTTGTCCATACATGATGTAAAAAAAGTGTTTTATCTACAGTAACAACTCGGGTACCATTACTATGGTTCTAAAGAACGTGATGTAATTCATTACACTCCTGCGAACATTATTGTCAATATTTTATCATCATTTTCTTACAACAGTGTTTGATAAAATGTATAATTACTTATACTACTAGGGACTTTAAAGACCTAGTTTTGGATTCATTCAGATTCTACAAGACTATTATCTTATGGTACTGTTAACCAGGTCCATCAACCTTCTACCTCTATTGCTTTGATGCTCTAACAGCTGTTCTATGAAAAAATTCACAGCTAAAGAGACTTCTATCATCGCAAATCTTGCTTATTTGTTCCTTTATATTGTATTACCAGTAAATATATACATGTTGTGTTATATCCAGCAAATCACAAGCATAAAATTTGCAATGGAACAACTGAAAATCCAAAATGTTAACAGACTTTGCATTAAGATTTTGTTGTTGTTAGGTGCTTACTTACATTTTAACAGAAATTATTTTTATTGCTGAATTCAAACTTAGATCTCACAAAGTTCTGTATAAACTTTTGTTTTTCACAAATTTCATTTCACACCATGCAAGTTATGAAACCATGTAGTTGTCATGTTATACACTGTACCTGCTCTGCAGCGGTATCTGTTGAAATGGTATATTTAAATAGTGTTGTCATGAGAAGCAGTTTTAAGTTATGGTGTAGAATAACAATACTTACATTGCTTGAAAATTTGTAAACATAAATTACTTTGAAACAGAATTGAAATGGTGTATTTAAGTGTTTTACACTCACAAAAAAAGAAACCTATCATACTACAGGTATTTGTAGCTTTCCACCGAAATTTAATTCTTCCTATTGTTAGCCGACACTAGGCAGCTGGTACATAACTGAACATAGTTGTTTAAACATTTGTTTATCAACAAGCTTGGAATGGTCTATTCTTTCATTGGGAGGGGAGGGGGTCTGTGGACCAGACTAGTTTTGGAGAATTCCATTCCTCATCAGTGACCCT